TTAGGAATTATAAATGATAAAATGCGAAATACCCATTCGATATATGACCCTTTCTTAGTATAACTTAATTAAAAAATAAATATTTACCTTGTTTTAATTTCTATATTTATATATAGAATTCCCCTTGGTTAAAATATAAAGATATCTTCGTCGACCAGCGAAATATACCACAGACACGAGTGCAGCTCGGCAGCTAGTGGAAGAATAGTGAAGCAAGTGAAGAAGTAGCACGTGTAAGGTACGAGTATAGGATACGAAAAGACGAGAACACGTGGCGAAAAGTTTACGGCAGGAGAGGAGACCCAAGCAAACTTCCGAATTGATATTGGAGACCTCGCGTGGCGACAACGCGAAACTCCGGTTTCAGTGTTACCAGCGTTGAAAAACTAATTTCAGGTTCTATGTAGTGGTGTATGTATGTCCGTACACGTTAGAGTCCCTATAATAAGAGTCTGGACAGTCTTTGGTTTTGAAGCAAAATGGCGGTAGTCAGACTCTTATTCTAGGTGCTATTAGTACCTTCGAAATTAGAACGCTGTTTCTGAAAGAATATTACACTTGGCGCCTATTTCGATCAGAACGACGTTCATGCCGACGCTACATGTCCGAATTCGAACAGTTACTAACTTCAGTCATTGAGCGTCGTGGATATGTAATGGATGAGATCGAGCGGCGTCACGGCGACGCGTTTAATTAGTTAATTATCATAATCAAGAGAACCGTACGTATTTAATCGATCTGTTGAGAGTACTCGGCGCTCGCGCGTGCATTATTGTAGCGACGTGTTGAAACGCGCGTTTCGCGAGATTGAGACAATTGACCGATCGACGAGCGCGAGCATAATCGACAAAGGCTGCGGTCCACTTGACGCTACAAATACTTCGGAGCGTTCTTCTTCTCCTTCTTTCTTCATTGAAAGAAAAGAGAAAAGGAATATGCTTCGAAGCATTTGTAGCGTCAAGTGAATCGCAGCTTATGTTTGTACATATTACAATACAGCATCGAAACATAAGCATACGTCATTTTCGTTGGGCAAAACGCGAGAGCCTAGTGCACGGAAGACGGAAGTGCAGTCTGAAAGCAGCAGGTGCAGCAGTCGTTTGCTCCTGACGCGTGAAGTTAGCCGCGCGCTTTTCGAATTTCCTCCACTACTCGAGATTCGCGCACCGATCTGCGGCGACACCGCACCAACGGATCGTCACTTCGCGCGAACGTATTTTTCTCGCGTTGATGCTCTATCGCGACGTGACAAAGCGCGGATCGCGTGCCGATTATAACGCCGAGAGTGCCGTACGGTATGCCGTGCGATCATTGAACTTTGGTGATTAGTGCGCGGTGGGAGTGCGCGATCTCAATTAATCTCGCGAGTGTTAATTACGAGTGAGTGCCGTGAAGGAGCAGCCATGGTTGGGACGAGAGAGGAGGAGGGGGCCCGGGGAGGCGTCCGGCAACGACGAGGCAACCGTAGGGTGAGTAATTTATTATATTTATTTGCCTAATTAATCGTTTTCGCGGGAATTCGATCGCAACGACCACATAAGCGCGTTTCTGTGCAACCGTTTTGCAACGTTATACGATGTAATAAAATTTTACATTATCTCGAGAGTTTAAATATTTAATAAAATACTTAAAATATTTGTTGTATATAATGCTTCGTTACGCTTATAATTATTAAATTACAGTTGTTTAGATTATTTATATAACAATTAAATATTTATATTTATCAGATGCTTTTGTAAGCATTTCAATCTAACTTAAACAATGTATTTCGGAGTAATATTTTTATTAAATTTAATATCCCTTAGAGGGATATTAAATAGAGGGATATTCCTTAAATGAAAAATGAGATGCGCTCAGTAATTATTTTTTGAAATATTAATTATTTTGAACGGGACTTTAATTTAGATATATTTATATTTTACACATTAGAGCGTGTAACTACAACTTCGTCGCTGCGCATCGTACCGGTGAGTGTTTAATTATTTTTTATTTCAATCGTATGCAATGCATTTATGAAAATTATATACAGTATTAAAAAGTAATCTCTCTTTCCCTTTTTTTTGCGAAATCTTGTATCAATTTTAATATTTAAAATATATTGAAAAGATTTTTGATAAATTAAACACTTTGTTCAACAATTTAATTTTTCAGTGTTACAATTTATCGTGTATTAATTTTTAAGAGTATAATCTTATTTAAAGATATGTTAAAGTTTTAGAGTAAAAAATCTTTTAATAAATAAAAATAAATGTTTTTAGAACCAATAGTACATTGGACACATATGGTAGATATATCTTAATCAAGCATAAGAATAAAAACTTTGACCTTAGATAATTATTCCCGCGGTTTTGATCGAAACAAAACAAAAGACGTGCGTATCCGTTTTATTATTGAATTCAGCAATTCGTAAAACCGAAAGTTTTACAATTTGTATAATTTAAAAAATCCACCGTACGCTAACGCCCTCTCACAAATACTGCGGATAAAGAAAGGAACAGGAAGCCAAAGTTAGCATGGATGATAACTACAGAAATGCAATTTTGTAAAAACATAATATTGTATATATTGCATTTCTATAAATTGCAAAATTAATATTGCGCTATACGCTAAATGTTTTAAATATTTATATTGGATATATGATCGAGAATAATCGATAATCAATAATGTCGGTACTCTTTAATTATCCCCGGACTCGCGTTGGGACACTTGATAATTATAAAATTATAGTCAAGTTTCTCGAGGTTATTATAGTTTTCAATAATATATATAAGTATATGTATACTTCGTAATCACTTTGTAGGCGTTTATATACATTTTTCCTTCAAATATATATGTATTTAATCGTGAAATTTTTCTTTAATTTTAAATATTTTTACATATAATGTTTTAAAAATAAAACACAATTTTTCTCAATTAGATTCAAATTAATTCTTTTACGTCCACAAGAACAGTAAAAATGTATTTAATAATTATTATAATTTTAATTTAAGTTTGCTTAAAAATGAATTGTGATTAACTAACATTCTCAATATTATAATTATTGCAGTACATGTATATATATATAGTCTGGAATTCCGAAATTAAAGTACGACAGTGCGATACATTAAAATTTTTAATATACACTTTTTTTTTATTTCGTGAAAATTTGAAAAATATTCAGTTTCACAAGACCATAAATTCCTTTCAGTTTTACTTGACCGAATACTTAAGTATATAAGTATTTTTAAATTGAAAGCTCGGATCCGAAGTGTCATCTACTTTATCTCAATGTATCTTCTTTCGTTGCATTTTGAGTTGCACTTCGCGTGCACTCGCGACGCGATAATTATCTCTTAACAGCTTTACGAACGTGCGCGCATATATTTTTAGATGATTGCATCGGGATTATATACAACGTGCATCTAGCGGAGGCTGAAGTGTCACCATCGCTCTTCGAGCGGAGCGATGAAAAGTGGGAAGGGGAAAAACACACGGGTGGAATGAAAAAAGGACAAACACCAGCGGAATGTCCAGTTTTTGCGTGGCAGTTACTTACCTTAAACGAGCTAAGATTCTCATATAGAATAGCGGAGGCTTTCCGATCCTTATGTTCGCGACCGCTTCCAAAGACGACGAAAGGCGACGTTCTCGTCACTCTCGAACGAAACGTAATTGCGATACCGGCAAGTGAAAACCCTATTCATAATTTCGCCGGCTATTTATCCTTAATTCGTTTCATTTGTTTTTGTATTGACCACGGAATCGTTTGTCCGCGCCTCTCATATTTCTCGGGTTATTCTCGAAATTATTTTATTCTGGAAATTATTCTATCTTTATCGTAAGCGCGATTCGCTTTAAGGTTTTTAAAAGTAATGGAAAATTCATCTCCGAAAGATTTGTGAGTTCCTATAAAGACTGAGGCCGAAAATTTCGCAAGCGTTTATTCCGCAATGTACTTATTGTACTGTGATCTTGCGATGAAATATCTTTTAGCAATCGTTTCTGCGATCTTTCCATTGCGATGCGGAAGTTGCATCGTATTACGCTAATTAATACCCTATTTCTAAATCTATTATCAACGTTCGTTCATTGTAGCGTTAATTATTCTATTATTATCGACGCTAGAACAGCGCGGGTAATGGCGCGTTAAAGAATATATTTAGTTTTTCGGACACAGGCGGAGTTTATCGGTCGCCGTGTAAAAGGAAAACGCCAGCCTCGGGTGTGCTGCCCTTTTTCTATCTCACACTTACAGAGAACAAATGCCAGTTGGTTTTGAAACCGACGCACGGAATCTTAATGACGTCTCGTCACATATTCGACAACGGACTTCGGCGGACTTGGACCTCCGAGAGTTCCAAGTGGCACGGAATTTACCGTGTATAGTTTAAGTTAACTTTTCTCGATTATGAAAGCACTTTACGTACTATTACGAAAATCATCCGATTCACTTATTGGTCATTATATAATTTCCAGGAAGAAAGACGCTGGCAAAATAATTTTTTATGTGGATTCATTACTAACTTTTATATGATTATATGAATTTATTACTGACTTCAAGCGTGTCCGTAACGATGCGTTTAATTTCGCTAAAAATTAAAATTTTGGTCGTAATTATTTTATACATTATTAATTACGAGTAAACAGATGTTTCTCGGTTCAGGTGTTTCATAAACTGACCGTACAATTTATTAAACGGTGTGTTTAAATTATGAGTACACTATATTAATACTTTAATAACGTATTACACTGAGTAGATAAAAGAAACTTTTACATTAAGTGAATATATAAACTATAAACGATAGACAGGTAAAAGTTAACTCCTTACTTACAAAATTTGGCCGATTTTTAAGTTATCAAAAATGCAGGTACAATATGAAATATAAATATGCCGCACATCAGTTTTGCATTAAATAAAATGCGGCACATTTATATTTCACATTGTATCTGCATTGTATCTTTTTGATAAGTTAAAAATCGGCCAAATTTTCGTGACATTATTATACAAGAGAAACAATGAATAACGTCATTAAATAATGACTATATAAACGTTGCTATTTAACATCCATAAAGGTATTTACGAAGAGAATGGTGAACTGAATACCGGGGAAGAAAATGATGAAAGAAGCGACATCCTACGAAAAGTCTGTAGGTGTCATCGGCTTAAAAGGTACGTGAAGAAGTTTAAATTACTGTCAGCTGTGCGATTGCTATTATATTTTAATGCAATTAACCCACAGTGAATCTCGCTGCTATTGCCACATGGCAATATCCAATGAATTACTCCTAAACCTTCTTGAATGGTTTTCTTCTTTATGTTGCCATATGGCAACATGTAATATTATCAATGGCATAAAAAATTTGATAAATGACTTATCAAATTTAACATTGACAAAATTTTAGCAGAAAAAATAATGCCAAACATTTTTTCATTACAATTCCTTCTCTGCTTTCCCTTTCTATATAACGTTTATTAGAGATTTCTATAAAGGAATGTGTATTAAATACATACACGTAAAGTTACGTGATTTTTTTCCTCATGCAACGTATTGTTAATTAATTAATTTTAAAGGGAAATCCGCGCACATGTGGAAGCGAGACGGGAGGCGAGAGAGCATGCGGTGGGGGTAAGAACGAAAGAGCGGAAACACGCGCGGGAGAAAGACGCAACGAGGGACCGTAGTAGTATGACGAACGCGAGGCAACCGGCGACGATGGTGCGGGCAGTCTGCGCACGGACATCGATCGAGGTTCACGTTCCATCCACTCCCCGAAATTCCCGATTGTTTCTCGAGTCGCGATTACCGATACGTCACGTACGACAAGACGAAAAATAGAAGGGGGAAGAGAGAAACAGAGAGAAAGATAGAGAGGGAGGGGGAAAAAAGAGAGAGAGAAAAAGAGAGAGAAAGAAAGAGAGAGAGAGACACACACCGCGGTATCCTATGCGGCAATCGTGAATTGCGTGCGCCGTGACAGTGCGATGACACCTGTGCCTTTCCGAGAGGAACGAACCGTCAGTACTGCAGCTGTGGGGGTGTTTTTCCGCGCCGCACCATAGGAATTTTGTACAGCGACCGGAAGACGTCGGTTCGCCACTGTCTTCTTCGTGTTCGGCAGAGGTGAGTGCATCCATGACAACGATCGCATGTCCGAAATAAAAGGGGTATTTTATTGTGTCGATTAATTTGCCACCTATCGTTATTTTTTGATTATTTGAACACCGCGCTGGCAACAGTGAATTAATGCAAATTTGTATCCCCCTTCCGTTACTCCAATTACAATGAACCATTACTGCAGAATTATATATACGTAATGCAATTATTTCAGTTTGCTCTTAATACAATACAATAACAGTACAACTGTTAACACAGATTACATTATATAATAATTAACAGTGTCGACAAATGTTATTAATACAGTATTATCTACAGTACAGTATTATATCGTTGGAGTGTCCGTAACAGCAGTTTAGAGCAATCGAATCGATCGCCAGCAATTATGTTGTTTCTGAATACGCTTTCATAAAACAAAGTTATTTCATAACCTTTTTAATAGTCTCTTTAAAGTTTCTATTATGCCACAGTGACGGAGCTTTTTTACAAGCTTGTTTCGTGTAAATGTTAATGTCACGTCAACTGATGGCGTGTAGAACTGCAGACATGAATCTCAGATTAAGGGACGTATTGCTGCGACAACTTGTATGTACATCGTCTTAATAATGCCGAAATTAATTACTAAGAATAATGACGTCATTAAGGAACGACGGGCAAATTTTCACGCTACTGCAGAATTCCGCAATTTATCGCATCTACCGCAACGCTTTCGTGAAAATTCGGAAGCGAGATATTTTTTCCGCGATGGAACGATTGTAATTTCAACGTTCTCGCAACCTCGAACATGATTACGAAACATCTACGGCTCCGTTAGCACTGGTGATATGCGACAATAATGGTTAATTGATAATAACGTCTGCAATAATTAAGACGGGAGCGTGTGCGTTTATGCCTTTTCGAGAAGCGCAAGAAGAACGTATTGCGAATATTAGAGACGATCTGAGTTAGATAAAAATATTTCCCCATTTTTACAAACAATTATACTCTATTAACAGTATATAATTATCAAAAAATTATTTGTTGCATTAGATAGGGATATTAAATTGATATAAAAAGTTGGCTGTATTTTTTCCAAGCAAGGCTGAAAGAGCGAAGTTACACATTTTAAAACGAAACGACCACTTTCCATGCATCATCTGCATCTAAAAAGATTTATTTTACAAGAGTTGATTAAAGCAATTGTCCCAAGGCGCACGAAAGTTCACGCTTGTCGTTCTAAATTTTGCCCATAGTTAAGAACGGAACTTTTGATCTCTAACTCGAGATTTATTTCTTAGAAATTCTGTCTCTGCTCGTCTCTGTTACATTGCCGGTCTGTTTTCGGTCTCCTGCAAGTGTCTTTAACGCAATGTCTCACAATGTATTTTTACTGCGTTACACATTCGTCGTGAGGGCTTCAAACTCGTGTTTAATAAATCACACGTCCTACGCTAAACTAGGAATAAAGGTAGAATTACCGAAAGATCGATAGCGACGCATTCACTGAACTATAAGCGCTCGTATAAATTGCAAAGCACGTGAAAGCGGTCGATTCGCTTTTACCTATATCGTAACGCTATTTCACACGCTCAGCGCATCCATATAAACGTCATGTACGTCCCAGAACGTGTAATATTAATTTACCGTAATTTAGCAAGTTTACGTTCCAATGTAATCGTCCCCGCATACATTTAGATTTATTGCGTAGCAGTATATAAAAGCTAAAAGCGTGTTGTGGAAGGGTTTCCGCTGAATGCAGAAGCTGCTGCTGCTGCCAGACGTGAATCTGAAAAGGAGTAAAGAAACGGATGAAGTTACAGGCGGATTGGAGCGAAGTATGCGTGTATACAGTCTTGTTCGACAAAGTGTTCCTTGTTCCAATACGAGTATTATCGCGATCCTCCGGTATCGAAATTACGCACGACGACGACGACGTCGTGTAATATGTGTAACGCGCATTCGTCGATTTTACGTCACGCGATAATTTCGCGGGGGCAATTTAAATACGTCAGTATTCTCTCGAGTAAAAATGCAAATTAGATGCGAAATCTTATTATCTTTTCATCTTTAATCCCCATCGACAAGGCCTGGCCTAATAGACTCGTGTGGAACAGCGTAGTTAACGTACGAGCGTATCTCGTGTTTAATATGCAAAGGTAGCGAATGGTCCCACTTAAATCGTGACGAGTCGCTTTCGCAAGGATTTAACGATTACCGTCGCTCTCTAGGAATCGCCGCGCACAGCCTCCAAAGCGCGCGGCGCCATATTCACGCGCTGTATCTCTCTCGTCAACGTTTTTGTATACGTTATTTTCTTGCGGAAATCTCTGGTGGCCATCTGTCAGAGGCACTCCGCTCCTATGTGCCCCGATGCGCCCCGCTTGCTAGGTCGCGATAACCGCGTTATACCTGCTCGACGCGTTCTCGAGTTTTTAATTGCGTTAATCGCGATTTACATTACGATGAGGCAATATCTCTCGAGGGTTTTAATCGGTTCGAGAAATCCTTGAAATCGTTTAAGTCAAACGTACATGCCCTCCCATTAGCCTCAATAAAATTAGACCTTATATATCATCAGTGATACATTGTCCGCCTCAACCTGATCATTGAACGAAACGAAACATATTCATGCATTATAAGTACAATGTGAGAAAGATACGCGTCTTTTATATATTATAGTATTTTTGTAAAATATTATGACATTATGTAACACATAAGCACATATTATATAATCACGCACAAGGCAATTCAAGATATAATCTCAAATAACGTAAATTATAAAAATTACTTGAGATATGCGACCTGGATTGGCAATTTTGCGTTTTAAATTTAATTTACCGAAAATTATTACTTGGTGACTTCACCCTTTTTTATGTAACAGCGTTCCAGTTATGCAACAATTTTTGCAACCATTTTCTGCGGTAATTTACTTATTTTTTTTAACCTTCCTCCTTTCCTTCTGCGAGCGGCAATTTAGCATCATCCATTGAGATGGGCGAAGCCTGGGTGCATCGAACTCAGCGCATCGAAAGTAAGCGCAACGATAGGTCACTGTTACGTGTGGGATTCATTATAGATTTTTACGAGGGTTACTTTCTTCTGCACTGGCGGGAGATTTACAACCTTACGCCTCATTGCGTATTTCTAATCTTAAGGAGGGTCCACATTATCGAGCAAAACCGCGAGCCGAACTTCGCCGCGAACCGATCATGCGTCCACATTATCGAGCCGAACCGCGAGCCGAACTTCGTTGCGAGCCGATCATGCGTCCACATTGTCGAGCCGACGGGCTCGCACGAGGCTCGCGAACCTCGAATCGAACATCAGTGCGAACCATCGCGTACTCAGTCCACGAATCTGCAAGGATTTTGATGATACGCGGTTTGGCTCGCAGTGTCCCACCAAAAGTCGGTATTTCGACGAAACATCAAAAGATGCTTTTTATGATCAGATTATACGCTTTGTCGGGTGGTAGACTGGTAGTTAAGCTTCGATCTAGACAAATAATGACAAAAAACAAAAAATGAACTATGAAAGAAAACGTGAGTAATTGCCCAGTCGCTGTATTTGATTCTATCCACGTATGTGCAGTCTACACGACTACTGATAGACAAAATGGAATGGTCTGATAAAAAATGTTTAAAATTAAATAGTGATTATAAGCAGAAAAGATTATTATATACGGGACGCTAAAAATCCCGAACATTATAACAATTAAAAAAATGTCATGCATATTTATATTTACAATCGTATTTTTAACGTTGCAATATAAATTATAAATTTATTGCGTATTTATCATAGATTTAGAGTATGTTTATGCAATATTAAATATAGTTGGTACCACTCTAAATATAGTTTTATGGTTTAAAAAGGAATTAAGCTTTGAATACAAGAAAATAATAAAAGCACGCATATGTATACACATATTTAGTCGTCTTTTCCTGTTCTCATACTTTTTTTATAAGAAGAAATAAGTAAAGAACTCGAATGTGATAGTGACATGTGCAAAAAAAAGATGACGACATTATTGGCATCTCTGCAAAGAGAAAAAGCAAAAATAAAAAAAGTATGGAAACAGGAAAAGGTGAGTGAATATATGTATATGTGCTTTTATTATTTTCCTGTATTCAAAACTTAATTCCTTTTCAAACCATAAAACAAAATTTAGAATTAATATTGCATAAACATACTCTAAACCTGTGATAAATACGCAATAAATTTATAATATATATATTGCAATGTTAAAAAATACGATTGTAAATATAAATATGCATTTTGCATACATGTATTAAGAATTTATATAAATTTTATTATAAATTTCAATACGAGATTTGACTTCAGAAAAATTTTAACTCATGTTCGCGGTTCGCGATGGAGTTCGATTTGAGGTTCGTCTGCAAGTTCTGCTCGAGGCTCGGTTCGGGACTCGGTTCGCGGTTTGGCTCGATAATGTGGACCCTGCTTTACACGATTTACGGATTACGTCATATATGCTCTCGTGCAAAACTTTCCGTACAGATAATGTCGTTGGAAGAAAATGTATAAGCAACATATATCTTTTTCTCAATTCCGGCAGTAGTGAAAATGATTAAATACCAAGTGTAAATAGGGAAACGTGTTATAAATTCAGCGCATAGATAGAAGTAATAACGTTTTGTGAAACAAGTCAATGCTCACGGTAATGAATTGAAAACTTTAATATAGGATAAAGTGAACACAGAGGCGTGAAGAAAGCTCTAAAATTTAAAAAACAATGAGTTTGAGTGTTAAGCGGGGAGCACACACTTTTGCATAACGCATAATGCGTAAGCATAAGAAAATTGATTGGTCTATTTCCTTATGCACATGTGTATGGACCAATCAATTTTCTTATGCTTACGTATTATGCGTTGTGCAGAAGTGTGTGTCCGGGCCCTAAGACGAACTATATCTTAACGATATCTTTATTTTGTATATGAAAAGAGCAAATAAATAGCAGGAACATAAATGCTTAAAGCAGAGAAACTTTAAATTTATATATCGTTTTA